CCTGAAGAAAACAAGAGGGAAACAAAATGAGCTGCATACACATAGCCACATCCTAATGGAATCACTGCAGCACTGCTGGCTCCTGCAGAGGGGGAGGCAGGAAAGGGACAGCTGGGTGGGGAAGAAACACATCAATATGGATCACTGGAAACTGATTAGAGCACTGGGCTCACTCAGACTTCTCTTGCATTTTCCCTCAATTAGGCTGGCAGAAGTGAAGGTGGAAATGTTCAAATCTGACTTTAGCCTTCCTTGCTGCACTGAGGCTGCACTCCTGTGTTGGACTCCCTTTCCTTGCACTTCTGCAGATCAGGCAGAGCTCTGGCAGCTGGAACCTGCCCACAGGGGTGCAGAGGGTGTCCTCTGGCAGCTGACATCCCTGGGCAAGCCTGACCATAACACAATTTCATTTGAGTAAATTGGCTGGTGATAGTGCTCAACAGCCTGGTTACACAAATGAGGAATCTGCAAGGAAGTCAGGATTAGTGTCAAGGAAAGGAAATGCACTTGCTCTTACAATGCATTTCTCTTTCCATTAAGAAGCTGTGATGTTAGGCAGAGAAAAATCAGAATGACTGCCTGCCTGTAACTGCTAGAGAATATAAGTTGGGAAAAAGACTGGGGGGGGCAAGGGACGGAAAGGGTGAAAAGAAAATTCCAGAAATGTAATTCAAACACCTGTAGTCAAAAAGCAAGGTCTCAAGAAAGGCCCTGGGGTCAATATAACACAGAATGGAAGGACTACAGAGTTTGGAACTCTCCCTGTGACTTAAATTACAGATAGTTTCCAACAGTTTCCTTAATGAAATTTGTCTAAGGAGAAAATATTGGTGTCAGTGAGGGGAAATACTCTGATTCACAGAAAATGGAAAAGAGAAAGGCAGCCTCAACCAGAAGGCAGTCATCAATCTATTGCTGAGACAGAGTCTTGGCAAAACCCATCCTCCTGGTAGAACTTGCCTGGAGTAGAGCAGATTGATTTGACAGTCTCTTAGCCTAATAAATGCTTGACCCCAAGGTCTGCTGAATTCACTAAATCCACTATGCAGAGAGAACTGGGAACCAATCACCTCTGGGGAGCATCCTGCTCCTCAGCCCTCCCCTGCTGAAGGCCTTGACTGCTCTCAGCCTCGTGGAGATGAGGAGATAGAAGCTGCTCTCTCAGGAAGGAAGGTTAATCGACTGCACTGCTGTCCATCAATCACCTGGGAGCATGCCGCACTTGCAATAGGTAGGTCTCTCTTCCCACAACAGGATCCTGCATCTGAACCAAGCACCATCTCCTCCAGCTGGAAGGATGAGTAATAGGCAGGAGCAGAGTCCAGAGAGATGACAGGTGTCTGATCCAGAGCCAGCTGAAGTCAATAGAAAGACTCCTGGTGGCTTCAGTGGGCTTGGAGCAGACCCCAAAGAAAGACTTATTACCCAGGGTTTGTTCTGCATACATGCATCAAGCTATTTTCAGCAGTGAAAGATCCTGGAAAAGCAGCAGATTCATCACACACTTGTGCCTCCCTGTGAAACCAAACTTCTACAAACCATACTGTGTCCCAGGCACCCTGACTGTCAGATATGGCTGACATCCAGCAAAGGAAAATTACCTGCCTGTGACAGCACACACAGACACCTAAACATTTCAAAATCTCCAAGGAGCAGAAGAAGAAAAAAAGCCAAAGTGCTTTTTTTTTTTTCCCCTGGCCTTTTTTGTAATTGCTGCTAGCCAAAATGAGAGCTTCCCCAGAAGAGGAAAACTAGATCAATTCCTGAAAGGACAAAAGAGAACTGAGGGAGTAAAATTTAAAATACCCTGGCATGGAGGAGAACAAGCTCAGTGCTGAATCACCAGCAAGGTGAAGCTGACAGAGCCTGAGAGAAAAAATACCAGGAGAAAACCCAGGGTTAGAGAGCACCCCTGAAGACTTACCTCTGTAAATTACCAGCTGCATTTAGCTCCAGCACCAACTGATGACACAGCAGTCATCATGCATCCTGTCCTTGATGGATCCAAATGGCAGGAGGAAGCCGTAGCCTGCTGTGACAAATCCAGGCCCCTGAATCCCAGTGCAGAAACACACCTCCTGCACCACAGAGCCAAAAACCATGTGGCAAAGAGCTGAAACCAAGACTCACACCTTTGGGCATCCATGGCTAGAGGTACCAGCTCAGAGGTAATCCCAGAGGATGCTACAGATTTGCTTCTTCACAGAATCTTTACCAGTCTTACCCAAAGCAGAGTCCTGGATGAACTTCCACTGCCATCCACTCCTCTGCTCAAATCCTGGAAACAAAGCTGTTGGCTTGGGATTTCTGCTTTTGCAATAACCCAGTTTCTATTAAGAGGCAGAGACATGACAGCCTGGTGCCATGGACCTCCTGCTGCTGCTAATGAAGAGGTGCCAGCCTCTCCAGAAGGCTGGAGAACAACACAGATACAGTGGCTATTCTCTGCTCACCTGAAAATTCATGGCACTACAGAACATCTGAGGCTGTGGGATTTCCTCCTTATTCAGGGACAACAAGCAAGAGATCAGTGAAACACAATAATCCAAAGTGTGCTACACACACAATTTCTGTGTGCTCCAAGAATTGCTTTCCTTCCAAGGACAGCCATCTCAAAAGCTCTTTGCCAGCAGACAGCTGTGGTTGTCAAAACCAATTTCCTCGTGTTCACACTGCTAGCTGAAAAAAGCCCCACAAGACAGACCCTGCATCTACATCCAGAAGTAAGAACTAATATTTGGTGACCTTTCTTCCTCTGGCTCACTTGATAAAGTAAGCAGCACTGCAAGCAAAGTAAGGCAGATATCGTTAAGGAGTGAAGGTACCTGTCTATTTCATAAGGAAACCTGACAAGGAATTCCACATACAGAACAAGAACTAAATTTAAGAGATACAGCAGCTTCTTCCCCAGCAAGGACTTTACTATAGCAGCCTTATAAATGTGAAGATTTTGGCCAAGATCTGTGTCATGCATGTTGCATCAAAATGCACAGTACTCTGCTGTAAGAGCCTTGGATTTGTTCAACTATTTTGTTTGTCTATCAATTTTTTTCTAACCTTTGTATTAAAATAATGTCAGAAGTTACCAACCTGTTAAGATAAATGGGGATGCTCTGACTCTCTCCAGGTGTTGTAACCGAGGATGCAGATTCATGCAAAGTGTGCCTTATTTTCTCATGTCTGAAAGCAGACTTTTGCAGCCATATCTCCTGGTTTGGAAGAAGTCTGTTATTATCTATATAACTGTATGCAGCAGCACCAGCAGGTGCTGCAGTGTTTGTCATCCCACTGGCGTGCACTGAACCCCCCTGCCCTGTGCCAGTGCTGGCTCCTGCTGCAGCCACAAAACTGACAGGAGATCCACATGAGAAGTGATCTATTTCACTTACTGAATGTTCATGTTTTAACCTACTGACTGCTCATTTTGTAACCCAGAGTGGGTGAGCATGAGACACCTGCAGCTCGGTGCTAATGACCAAGTGAGGCAGCAAAAAGGCTCCTGACTGGTCAATTCTTCCTTGTGTCATTTGGAAGAGGATCCCACAAGGCTTAAATTTGGTCACAGTGACCTACAACACCTAAAGAGAAAATCCCTTCTGCCTGAAAGGAATGAGAGATGGATGGCACAGAAGCAGAAGGGAACTCTGAGTGCTCCACTGACCCAGATGACATCTGATGAATGGGCTGCAATATAAATGTATTTGAGAAAGAGAAAACTTCTGACTTACCTTTATCATCACTCCCCAAGTTGTTCATGCCACCAAAAAAACACAGAATTCCCTTGAACCACGTATTTAAAAATCTTGCAATTTTATTTGCATATAAAGGCCGCTAGATATAATATCACAATAAATTTAAAGAAACAACTGCTTTTCTAAATTCCATTAACAAGGTAACATAAAACAGAACGAAGCTCAATAGCATTTACAGTGGTGGAACAGAAATAACTATCTGCAACAATATTTTGTGCTAGTGAGATTGCATTTACACACAGTGCAAAATAAGAAAAAGGAAATAAAAAAGACAAGAAGAATATTTAAATATAAAGGACAACTAAGCCTTATTTTATTTAGGCTTGATTGTATCCATTTGACTCTATACATGCCTGAACTACAACAAAGATTCAACTCGGGCTCTTGAAGGCCTTGAGCACTTGGAAAAACGTGTCACATCCTTCATACTTTAGATGTGCTGTACAGCATAATTTTGCAGATGCTATACTCGCAATATTAAATCCTAGCTTAGTTATAATGCACAAAAAATACATATATATATAAATTCATATTTAAAAGGAGTCCGCATTTACAAGTTTTCTTTTTTTTTTTTTTTACTGCATGAAATACCTGCTTTTTGCAGCTTTCACCCCCAGTCTTTTAAAGCTAAAATAATTTAAAAAAAGAAACAACAGAAGGTAGATATCACATACAGGCTGTGGCTATCAAGATCAGTCTTTATAAAGCAGGTAGAGACAAACAACTGAGAAGCCTATTCTCCCCTTGCTGCATTCTACCATGAATAGAAACAAGTTAAAGTACATGCACACGTGTCAAGAGGTAAATGGACCCCAAAACATTGTTTGTGCTGCTAAAAAAAATTGATATAAATTGAGACAAAAAGCTAACATTTAAACCTAGGGGAAAAGAAGACACTTAAAAAAACCCCGACAATAACAAAAGTTGTGCAAATTTGGGTGTATTTAAATGCTGCCTATTTTTTAGCTTATAATATAATATTAAAATAAGGTCTCTCACTTATTAAAAGAAAGCTTGGCTGTCCTTTTGAGAACACTATAACAATTTACAATGGCAAATTTATTGGAAAACAAAATTCATTTTACAAATTCACAATGCTTTATCAATTTAAAATGAATGCTGCATTTCCAGAAAGCACAACCTCAAACTTCTCTTCTTGTTTCTTTTGCACCAGCAATTTACAAATAAAAAAAAACAAAAACAAAAAACCAAAAAACCCCAAACCCCACCCCAAAACAAAAACCCCCCACAGATCCCCCAAAATCCCCCCCTAGCCCCTATTTTGAAATAAACATGAAGGTAAGTTTTTTATTAGAAAATGGCAGTTTATAGACCTTCCCCAGTAGTGCTTCAGGATCCTTGAGGGGTGGGAAGGTCGAAGATGATGGGAGGGTTGGTGGGCTGGAAGCTGACTGTGCACGTGGAGGCGTTGATGTAGGTGGTGTAGCCATCTGTCATGATCCCATAACCTGTGGGGACAAGGGGCACGCTCACTGTGATGCCTCAGGGTTTGGCTTTTCTATTTCTCACATTCTGTGCTGCTTTAGTGTGTGGGTCTGGGCTTCACATGAGGGCATGGTGAGTTCTGTGCACAGAGCAGGGAGACAAAACAATTCCTGCTCCAGCTGGGCACCAAGGACAAATGATCCCAATCTCAGTCCAAGAGCACAAACCCCGTGGGCTGCAGAGAGAAAAACAAGCAGGATGGGACTGCAGGGGCTGCAGCTGGAACTGGACACTGAACTGCAATGTGCACATGGAGCAGAGCTGAGCCCAGGGAGAGACCCCGGCAGCGCTCGTGCATTTTGGGGCCATTTGGGTTCATCTTGGGTGCAGCCCTGGCTGGGCTCTTGTGCTGCCCAAGGTGCATCCATGGAGGAGATCCTTGGAATGAATCCCTGCTTTATTCTGTAGCTCTGTCCAGCCTCTGCTCTAGGGCAGCCTGCACAAGGTGTCACTGCCAGGGACACACGGAGCACCCCAGCACTGCTGGGCCATCCCTGATGTGCAATAAAACCCAACTGACCCTTCAAAATGACACCAGGCCCTGCTGGTTCCTCTGCCCCAAAGACTAAATTGAAAAAAATCCAGTGGGCTGTGTTTGAGATAAGAAGGAGCGCTTTTGCTTTATGTACAAACTTTTTGTCACCCCTGGAAAATCCTCTGTTGTGACTAGGCATGGCAGAAACACAAACACCCATGTTCTTTTCCTAATTACTTAATTAGTGAGTTATAGAGTGCATGCCTGTCAGAAGAAAAAGACCACTCAGAAGAAAAGATTTTGAAGTGACTTTGGTTTAGCTTCAATACCTCCTCTCCAACAAACAACCTGAACTCTGTCACCTGCCCTGTGCTGGCCCTTATCACCCAGCTCCTCATCCAGCCCTGCCCAGCTGCTGCTCACACTGCCTTGATGCCTTGTGCTGCCCCAGAGCAGGCAGAACCACACACTAAAGCAGCACAGAATGTGAGAAATAGAAAAGCCAAACCTGAGGCATCAGCTTCTGAGACCTCAGGAACTCCTCAGCAGGTTAAAAACACACAAATGCACATGCTCAGGCTGCCCAGGGGAGCTGTGTCTGCCCCATCCCCAAAGTGCTCAAAGCCAGGCTGTACAGGGCTCAGAGCAACCTGGGATAGCATCCCTGCCCATGGCAGAGGGCTTGGAATGAGATATCCTTAAAGTCCCTTCCAATCCAAGCCATTCTTTGACTCCATTATTTAATTTATATATCTATTTTAAAAGAATTTTATAAAAGCTTGTGTGTTTTCAGCTGCCATCCACAAAAATCTAACTAAGAAGCTTGAAAACATCCAGGAAGTATTTGGCTCAAATGTACTTAAAAAAAAAAATTGAAAAAAACCCCCAGAGTTTCATGGAGGAAGAAAGCTTCCCATTGCAAACCCACAGAGGAAAAAGGTTTTATCTTTTAAACCATTATGATACAGTCCAGATCAGTGCTGTCTGAAAGCTAAGATAAATACAGCTACCCACAGTGCCTATCAGAAAGAATCATCACTTCAGAATTGCTGCACTGTCCACCTATATCACTTTATTTATTTAGACTGGCAATTCTGATTTAGATCTTCTCATGGTGGGAAAAACCTTGTTTGTGGTTGTTTTGCTTATCAACCAGGGGGGAAAACCTGCATCACCAAAAGTTGTGTATGGCCTCTGTTGGTTCCAGGGAAGGTGGTGCATGTTCATCTTAGCTGGGGTTGGATACAAATTAATTGCACCCTGAGATAAGGCTCTTAACACTTTGCTATTTCTTCCTGTACTGAAACAAACGATTCTTGTGTATTCTATGTAAGTACTAGAAATTATTTTACATTTTTGCTGGTATTTTTACAAGAATTTATTTGAATGCTCACTTTTAATTTGTCCTTTCCCAGGAGATTTAAATGTGGTGCTTTCTCATAATGATGGTCCTGGACATTCAGACACCCTCCTCTCCCACCCTTAGCACTGTTACAACCAAGCAAGTTTCACCACCCAAATTTACAATTCACACATTTCAGCTGGGAGTCTTGCCATATCCATTCATTTTTAATATGTGAGGACTAATATTTGTACAAAATACCCAATCTTGTTAATGGGTGCCTTAAAAGACTGTTATTTATGCCTCTATGCAGAGGGTCATGTCAGTATTCCCAGTATAAACTCTTTATTTACAGATGCCAGGCACGGAAATCATTGTATGAAGTCACAAGGGCTTCAGAAAAACCAACATCACTGGAGGAGAGAGCTGTCTTCTTTTTATTTTGCTTTTATGAAGTCCTGGAAATCTTTAGGCCTACTGAGAACCTAGTTAGAGACAATGGAGAAATCTCCAGGGGGAGAATGTAAAACATTTCATGTGTAATTTTGAGTTCTGGGGTCATGAAGTGTTGCACTGTCTCTCAGACAGAACTCCTAGTGTTGGTCTCTCAGCCACAGGAAAGCCACAAAATTGCATTAAATATTTAAGCATCTCCAGAATGTATTTAATCTCTCATTCTCTTCCACTGCCACAAACTGAGCTGGCTGTTTCTGGAGCTGACACGGTGCTCACACTGCCTGTTCTGGCAACCACAGAGGGGGAATATCTCCTCTGAAACATGACACTGATGCCTGGCTCGAGATGCCCTCCTTTCTGCTTCCCCTTATACCCTGAGGGAGGTGAGCAGAGGCAGCAGGTTGTCTCCACATTTCTTTTTTTTTCTCTAGCATCTTTCTTAGCTCCTGTGCTGGGAGTAATGGGGATAATTTTCATTTTGGCTCGCAAGTGTGGGGAATCTCATCTGTTTCTCTAACCGAGTTTGTCAAAACTTGAATTGCTTTCAAATAACCTGTATGGAACAACCTTTGCAGCACAGTGAAAGATGTAGGTGGCTAAATGTAGCACACATTCCTGAAACAGTCTGCTTTAATTCTGGAATAAATTTACAAAGTGCCACGCAGGCAATCACTTCCCTGAACTCCCTCCCTGCTTTAATCCAATCTGCCATTATCCACTGCAATACTGCAAAAAAAAATGTGCCTCTGGAAATCTGAGTGAAGCAGGGAACAGCTTTGCTCCTTACCTTCATGAATCCCACCAAAAACGTGCAGTTTGGGCCTTACTCTCCTCTGCACTGTGTTCAGCAGCTCCACACAGCCCACTCTCTGCAGCTCCTTGGGAACCCAGTCTCGAAAACCTGAAGGCAAAAAAAAGCAATCAGCACTGTTAATTTCCCCTATTCAGGTGAGGTTTCACCTAGTCTTTCAGGAAGTCATAATTCACACAGGGTTTATTCCATTATCTCCAGTCATAACCTCTCCATTAAAGCACACAATGGCTTTTAAGAAATGTTTCACTTTGTCTTCCTTAAGATTTCCTCCCTCCATCTGCATTAATATTTTTCCTGGATGTCATTTGTTTTCTTGAACTATAGGTTTCTTCCACCTTGAAACCCCAGGGACCGGGCACTGCTGCAGATTTTTCCTGGCACTGCTGCAGATTTTTCTTCCCTTTCCCCTGGCTCTTACAGCAGTCAGCTCTGTGGTTACTCCAGAAATGAAACAGCTCAGGAAGATGAGCTGAGCCACCACTCAATCCCAAAGATTTAAAATACAGACTCCCACAGCTTCTGGAGGACCTGGTCTGAAGGCATCAGGTCACTTCTGAGCTCTCATCACCACGCAAAAATTGCAAAACAGCTCCCAACAAGCCAGTGCTAAGTGACCACACTGCCACTTGGTCTTCTGGAAAATACAGAAAAATGTATGAAAAAACAATCCCTGCAGGAGCCTGGACTGGCATGGGAAGGATCAGCAGGGCAAGGGAACAAGGAGGAATAAAGGGAAATCAGGAGCCATGCCCAGCTGTAGCACCATGCTACTGACTTTAGCAAAAACATGCTGGGACATGAACTTGCCTAAATTTTAGAGTGACCAGAGAGTCCAGTTACAGCTCTACCTCCCTTAATATTCACTTAATATTAATAAGTAAACACTTAATTAAAAAGCAGTGCTTTATCAATGTTATCATGCAGGCTGAGACCTAGAGCCCCTCATTTTAGGGACAGTACTGACACCTAATCTGTGTCTGCAGTTGAGACACAGTGCCAACCTTTTGAAACTCAACTTCATTATCTCCTTCAAACACAAAATTTAAGCAGTCTAATTCAATGACAGCACTCATTAGTGTCTGCAGCATCACAGTATTTCTGCATGAGCCCAGCTCAGAGCAGATGGATGAGCAACCCATTTGAAACAGCACCCATGAAACATTATAAACACACTTGGGGGTTTTTTTGCTTCTTTGGGAGAATGAAGTGATTAAGAGAGTGCTGCTCAAGGCCCTGGGAAGCAGCAAGGTTAAAGGGAATTTGCTGCTCTTCTTACAACATTCTCTAAGTAGCATTTAAAAACTAACCAGAATATAAAAGGAGCAGTAAGTACACTGGTCAAAAACTTTCTGGACTTTTTTTTTCCCCCCTTAGCTTGGATTGCTGACTCTTAACTTAATTGTGGTAAAAAAACATAAGCACACAATAATTCCTGACTCCACAGTCACCAAGAAGCTCTAAAAGAACACTGAGCCAGCCTGGAAGCACTTAAAATGCTGGTTTGTTTTATTAAAATGCCCCATGCAATTCTGAGAAGATTTTACATATTCATTACCACAAATGTACTAAGTGACTGTGATTTGGCCACTTCCTGTGATTGTGTGACCCCTTGGGTTGCAAGAACTTCCTAAAACCCTGACACAAATCCTAAAACCCTGACAAAAATCACTCTTCTCACAGTAAGGGCAATGAAGACACTGCCCCACTTCCTCAAGCTGATAAGTGACATTTGTAAGAGGCTCAGCTGCTGTAAACCCAGCTGAGAGAGTTAAACCACAGTCCCATGAAGCCTGCCACGTGTGTCTGGAGGAAAGGCAATAAAATTTCATTATTCTGCCTCGCGGGATGGAGACAGGATAGTGGCACTTCCCAAAGGGGTTCAGAGAGGGCTTTAAGGACTTCAGATATGCCAAAACTGAGCACTCCTGCCTCTGCTGGATGAGTGTCCTGGGGTCCTTCTGGGACTCGCAGAGCTTAGTTTAAATCTTAAAACTGAGATCAGCGAATGACTGACACTGACAAGACAAGCAAACTAAATGAGAAACTTTAGCTACCTAATGAAGAAACAAATTATGCATTCATAGGCTGGTGCTCACCTGTCATTAGATCAAGTTAGGAACAATTATCTAAGAAGATAATCTTATTCCTTCACAGATTGTTAATAAGCCAATTAATACCTTTAAAACTATTCTTACATATTCTAAGTTTACAAGGGCATTACCAAGGAGAATATGTGACTTCATAGTTCCAAACTCTTGACTGCTACTCTCAAACCTTAACATGACATGACACTGTAGTGAGAAAAGGTTTCAAAAGTTTTAGTCAATCTCTAAAAAGTCATATGGGATTGAAAACTGGTTGTCAGATGAATACTGTTCTTAAATAAAATGTCAAACTATAATGGTTATGGTGTCAGATATTTGATCTTCCCTAGCTTGAATTTAATTTAAAAAATCAGGTTTTTTATGGCAACTCAACAGATCAGCTAAGCCTAATCATCATTTTCCACTTCCTTCAGAAAGTTTTTCAATCCACAGTTTTTACTCTGGGTGCAATTACAGTATATCTTACAGCATTATCAACTTTGCTCACTTTGAAAGCAAAATTCTCACGCAAAGAATCACACAGAACTTTTGTTTCACTTACCAAGGGGAGGTCCGTGTGTCATTAGTATATCAATTCCCTCAGGAATAAGGTTCCACTTGTCTAGCAAAGACTGACCTCTGGGTAGATTAAAGCCCCATCCATTAAACCACGGTGTCCTTTGGGGAAAATAAGACAAACTGCGTCAGTGTAAAATACAAAAATCTCTTCCCTTCTCCAAAATTTTTTCTGAATGAAAACAGTTTCAGTTCTTCGGGATGCCTCTAACACACACTGATTTAAATACATACATATGTTAAAATATACATTTGAATTTAGATTAATGTCTGATGCTGTTTTTGTACTTTGAGTGCATTGAGCCCTGGAGGCATTTACTCACTAGAGAGAAAGGGAAAAACACTAAAATAGCAAAGTCTAAACTCCGAGGTTTTTGTCACAGTTTGGGAATCTTCAAACTCCTTCCCTATGCTAACTACCAAAACAAATCAAACTTTTCTTTTTTTTTTTTTTTTTTGAGGCAAAAATCAATTTCTCCCAGCACAGGGCAGCAGTACCAGTTCAACAAGAGGCTCGATGGGGCAGCACCATCTGTGCCACTGTGGCATCTCACTAAACTCAACCTTGCTCCTTTCAGCACTTTTATAACCAGAACACTGTCACAAAACTGGGGTTTGAACCCCTGAGCCTCCTACAGATACAGGAACAACATAACAAAAATAATGAAAGAAAGAAAACATAATAAAAATAATAAAAGAAATAAACATTCATACAATGTTTAGCCTTACAGTGACATTTTAAAAGGATCTTATAATTTAAAATTCATTTAGTATTTCTCAAGGAAAACTGACACCCTTAGTGCTCTCCAGCAGAGCACAGAGTTGTTCTGAGACACTGGTTTATCCACCAACCCAAGCATGTAGCAATGAAAATCACATTTTCCAGTACCTTTTTAACATATAACTTTTTCAACACACAATTTTGATACAGCTATATCATAATAAAGCCTTTCCCTATCAAACAAGTACATAAAACAATTGCTCTGATGAAATACAGCACTATTTAGATTTGCTACCAATAACCTTTCACACAGGTCTTAGTACTGTACTAAATTTTAAGAGTTTGCATCCGTGTGTGTGTGTTTCCTAGAGCTCAGGCAACAGTTTTAGACTTTGTTTTCTAGGTAGGATTCTCCTGTCCTAGCGCAAATTTCTGAAAGTTCTAGGCAGGATTCTCCTGTCCTAGCGCAAATTTCTGAAAGTTCTAGGCAGGATTCTCCTGTCCCAGCCCATCTTTCTGAAAGTTCAGGCTACTCCTGGAGTCTTCTGTGTGCTGCAGTTCTGAAAACAGAAAACAAAAACTGAGGGCAAAGAACAACCACAAACCAACCTTGAAAAAAACTGTACCTGTTAAACCAGAGGTCATTCAAGTCCTGTGTAATTTCATTATGTAATCTGCCGCCTCTATCCACTAAATTATTCATTTTTCCAGCCTCAAACATGTGTTTGAGTGGGAATGCCCTACTGAGATGATGTCTCTAATTTTTATTTTTATATAATGAAACATTTTGTTCTGCTGAGACAACAATGTGACCAATGAGGACTGTACCCAGCTCTATGGATGATCTGCATTCCTGACAACTGGCAGTATGGAAAAGCAGCAGGCACTGCTAATATAGGGGCAGGAGGGTCACTGGTGCCTTTGTGACAAATAATAGACATATCCCGTGTAGTCCTGCTGGATAATGCTCACACTACACACACAGGAACTCATTCAAGCTAGCAGGCTTCCTGAATGAACACTGACAAAAGATAGGAAAAAAAAATTAGATGTTAGTCCAACATCTGATGTGAGCTCTGGGCTCCTGTGTGCTCAGCCACGAGGCTTCACCTCTCACAGCTGCCTTGCTCTGCACCCACCAAAACACCTAAAAACCCTCCTGTGTTTAAAGCAAGGTCTGTGCACCCTGCAGGAGGTGTGTGTGTGCAGCTGGATTAAAACTGAAGGCTGTGTCTTGGCTTCAGCTAAACCACAAGAATTTCTGCTTTCCTAGGATTGGCTTTCCTGAAACACCTATCTAAGTTCCCCTTCCTCTAACATTTCTAGATTTTAACCTATGGAGATTATTGTAACCTTCAGGGCTGCAGGCAGAAGTTAAAATATCGTTTGGCTAAACATTCAGCTGCTTAAAACAAACAAACACACAGAGCTGGGGTCAAACTTTTCACTGTCAATTAATGATTCTTTCCCCACTTGCATTTCTCCTGCAGATAAGGCTGTAGTTATTACAACATAGTTAAAGCTGAAACATGAAACCACATCTGTGATTTCTCTGGAGCTCTTCGGAGACCATGACCACAGAAAAAACCTGGATTTGTCTGCAGGATTTTTATTTTATTTTCTTCTGAAGCACTGTGGAAAGAGGAGGAGGGAAACCTGAGCCTCAGATATATTCTTCATTCACCAGCCTCTGTAATTAGCTGTGACTAACAGGCACCACATGGGAAGAAAACTTTTGAGAAACCTCCCTCATTATGCACAAAAAAAAGATGGTCAAGTACTTATTTAATATACTGAAGATTTTTATACAAAAGGGGTAAATCAAAGAGAAGAGCAGGCACGAATGAAGAACACCTGGATTACAGATTTAGGCTTAAGGCATTTAAAACATGAAACAGTGCAAAATTCCTAACAGCCCTGCATGCTGGCCAGGCAAACTGAGGGTCCTTATTTTGGAGAGGAAGGAAGGCAAGCATGTGCTCAGAACACCACAAAGAAGCCCAAGAGCTGCGTGGGTTTGGGTGGGATCACAGGGAAGGTGAGCTGATGTTTGCTGTGCTGCAGTGAGGATGGGATGGGGTGGGTGTGCTGTGAGCCCTGTGAGTGGCTGGGCACCCCAGCAAACTCTGAACACCTGCAGGAAAAACAAAGCCTGCTCTGTGTATCAGAGAGGGACATTTTACTCCTGCTGGTGACTTTTTCTGCATACACAAGAGTCAAATAGAGTCACTCTCAATGTCTAAATAACTTAGAAGAAAAGAGCTGTGCAAGGAGTCAGGTGCCTTCTGCAATGCATTTTCAGGCTGATTAATCACTGTGAGAAACCACTTCCTGTCTGGGAAGAAATGTAGGTGATGAACTTGGGCTGCACTCTCATGGTCTAACCCCAGCTGGCAACCAAGCCCCCCACAGCCCTTTTCCTTTCCTCCCACGGGGTGGGAGACAGAATCAGAGGGGTAAAAGCACATATACCCACTCATGGCAAACCACAAACAAGTGCAAGTAATTAATAAAGGCTACTTAGTCATTAGCAGCAATATTTCAGATCTGGCCTAGTTCTTTTTCCTATGGATCTCGGAGTTAAATATTTCAGCTAATTCCTAAAACTTAATTTTTTAAGTATAGCTGGCAACAGCAGGAAGTTATTGGCTGCTGAATGATGCCGCAAGGGAGGCGTGGATGGAAAACCCAGAGGGACTGGTAATGAGAGATTACAAACGATTTTGTCATCTTAGGTTTGATGGAGCAGAACACGTCCTCACAGCCTGTGTGCAGAGGAACCTAATTAAGGCTGTGGTGCTCAGAACCACACCTCACAGCACTCCCCACGTGCCATCAAACCCCACAGGAATTCCAAATCCACGGGAATTCCTGCTCCCTGACAGCCCAGCCCTCCCTGACTGCACAGCTTCCTCACCGTTTGGGGAGGGCAGCTGTGCTGGCACCAGATGTGGCACAGGGAATATCCTCATGGAAGGCAGACACCTGGCCCATCCCTGCTCTCCTCAGCTCCTCATTCCTGCACAGGAATCCCCACAGATCCCCTTCCTCCATCTGGCCTTTTGGAAGCTATGTTTTCTGCAATTAAAAGGAGGAGGCTGCAAATTATCTTCACACCTCGTGCTGCAAGAGATGCAGACACTGCTGGACATCATGCCAGGAGGGACGGGATGCTAAGCTCCCCAGCAAGACTCATCCTCCTTTTCCAGGCGCACCGGGAGAACCCCTGGACAGGACACACAAATCCATCTGCTTTTAGCAGCAGAGAGCTGCAGCTTCAGCAGGTGACCACATCTCCCTTCTCCCAAGTAAGCACTGGACGGCTTTATTATTTTACTGATACATTAAAAAATTCCCAAAACAAACCCAAACCAACCTGCTACAGAAGAACAGCCATGGAGCATCACTTCATGACACAAAAAATCACATGGAGCATAATTTTGTGACACAAAAAAATCACACAGAGCATCACTTCATGACACAAAAAAAATCACAACTGCTCCTCGGTGCATTCACCTCAGAAGCAACACCACCACATGAGGAAAGGGGTAGTTCACCCAGGGGCCAAGTTCACCCAGGTAGCACAGAAATGTAGCCCCTCCTGCATCTTTAATGCTTTTGAAGGGTGGTAACTCCTACAACCTACTTTCATCTCTTCTCTGACTCATGAATTTAATTACCTGATCCTCAGAGTTCAACAGCTCAAAAGGTAAATGTACAGTGAGACCTTCTAGATTCACATTTTCCTCTTAACTCCACCAGTAAATCCATTTATTTCAATAGTTACTTCTAAACAGGATTAGAAAAATGAATTATCTCATAGGTCTTTAATCCCATGTATTCATTCATTTTTAAGGCTACCCAGTCTTTTAGGAAAGCTTCAATTTTATATTTAATCCAATGAGTAAAGTGCACAGGAGGCACAAATCTCAGTCTCCCTCCTTGCACAGGATAACAGCCAGGGGAGCATCTAAAAGGCATCCCAGTGGGAGGCACTTCCACACCACCAACAACAATAACAAAATGCTCTCTATTTTTATCAGCATTCAAAGGGAGCACACAGCCCTGGCTCACAAGGGAGGAGGCAGCTACAGCAGCAGAACAGAACTGGTGGAACAGGCCATGGATGTGCAGCCCTGGACTTGACTCCATGTGGGACCACCCTACAGATGCATCCCCCAAGCTCCCAATCCACTCCTGGGCCAACACTGGAGGAAGAGGAGGAGAAGGAGAAGAAGGAGAAGAAGGAGAAGAAGGAGAAGAAGGAGAAGAAGGAGAAGAAGGAGAAGAAGCTTTCAATGCCCTCATGGCCCGAGGGCACACACACAGGGACAGGGACATGGGCAGGAGGGGAGAGCCTGGAGCATCATCCAGACAAAAC